TGCATAACTGAGAGAGAACAACAGATAATGAATCTTGCTTCTGATTTTTTTTTTTTTTTTTTAAACAGAGTAAATGTAGAATTTTCAACAGGTGACACTTTTTTCCAAGTCTTTTTATGGCCCTGTAGGCTGACAGATACTCATTTCCAGCCATTCAATTTTATTAACATATAATAAAAGAGTGTTATGCTATTGTAAAATGTGTCACATAGTTGTTGTTGTTTTTTAATCAATCCTGGGGAACACTCCCATATACTTTGTTAGGTGGGCACTTTTTTCCAAGTCTTTTTATGGCCCTGTAGGCTGACAGATACTCATTTCTAGCCATTCAATTTTATTAACATATAATAAAAGAGTGTTATGCTATTGTAAAATGTGTCACATAGTTGTTGTTGTTTTTTAATCAATCCTGGGGAACACTCCCATATACTTTGTTAGGTGGGAAATTCACCTAATTCTTTTTGGAAGTTGCTGCTGCATTTGATGCAGTGTTGCTACCACAATCCAGAAAGTGAAGCCAAAATAAAGAAGCGAATGGGACCTGAATGCATATTAAATATGGTTTCATTTTCATTTAAATTGAATAAAATTTATTAATTAAATGCAATTAATATGTTTACTCCCTGCATTTTGCTGGTAAGATTTGAAAGAGTTGTGGGGGTTACTTCCAAATCTTTCATAGCAACTTGTGGGTCTGTGGTCTCAGGTTGTATATTTCTACATTATAAAGACAGGGAAAGAACTCTGCAAATATATAGCATATTATAATTGAATATGCAGAATAAATCTATTTAGTCTCCAAAACAATTCTCTTGAGATCTGACCTGTATAGCCATAATATAGATCAGAACAGGTCTAGAAAAGAATAGCCAGAACCCTAAAAACCCAATCCTATGAAAAACAAGTTGCAAGAACTGAGCATATTGAGCAAAGAAGAGGAGATTAAGTCGATTATTACAGTGATCTTTAAATGTCTTAGAGAATGTCAAATACAAGATGCAATAATGTGCGTGTGCTGTGTGTATATGTGTGTGTGTGTATTTCATGTATTTTAATTTCAGTGCTAGAACCCAGCGACTGAAAACTACAGGCAGGGAAACAGACTTTGAATAACTGTTTAGAGTGGTTTCTTAACCATGACAGTGAGACTTGGGCCTTTACAGGTGCTGGCTCAGGTGTGCTACAGCAGTATCTTGCATTGCAGGTCATGTGCTGAGTGGACGATTGGTTCTATCTTCTGATTTAGATCAGAGTCCAAATGTATCTTTGCTATGAATCTCTATCACTTCACCTCTTTGTCCATTTCTAAAGCTCAATACACTGATTCTTATGTATGAGGAAAAGAACAAACCATTCAAACTGGTATATTTCAATTTTACTCATCTGAGCAAAACAAAGAAATTTGACACATTCACCTGGAAGCATAATTTTCATATTAGCTCTTTCTAGGGCTTAGCAAAGATTATTGATGTCTCCTTATCTGTTCCTGGACAGTCAAGAGCTGAGATTATATCAACATATGTTCTATTCAGGATTAAGGATGGCTTATTATTATTTTTATTAAAACATGTATATTATGCTTTTGTAGACTTTTGGTTGCATTAGAAAATAAAATATTCTGAAAAGATTCTTCATCTATAGTTCCGTCCATTAAAACTAAGCATGCACACATATGTCCATGGACAAACATACACACGCCTGTACAAGGCCCATCAGTTTAGAACTTTGGTTATCATATTTTTCTTGTGCAATGTCTTTCATGTTGCTTTCTTCCGTTATTAAAAGCTTTTGTATAAATGCAGTGCCTACAAAAGCTCCATGGCTAAGAAGAGAAAAGCTGAAGAGCAGATTTTGGAAGTTCCAGTCAATAAAAGGAAATCTCTGTTAATGAAGCCTCGCCACTACAATCCCAGTGTAGAAGGCAAAGGAGAGAATGAGGGCAAGACACACCTGCAGGACAATAATAATGTTCTCCAAACAGGTATGAAAAAGCATGGACTCTAACTTAATCTAAACCTAACATTTCCCAAAGAACAGAAGTGAAATCCTATCACTAGGCAAATCTATCAGGTGGAAACTGGTAGAATGATCTGGATTATATCAGAAAGACAATGTGGTATAGCTCTTAGGATATAAGAGAACTGGGGACATAGCCAGGTGTAAGTCCATCTTCAACATAAAAGCTTACTGGGTGACTTTGGACCAGTCATTCATATTAGCCCAATTGACCTGACTTATGGAGGAAGGATAGGATGATGATGATAGTGATAATGATAATAATAATAATGATAAATTTAGAAATGGATCAGGTTTAGGACTGGGGTGTGCAAAATGTTCTAAACTGGAAGCATTCTGAGCTCAAAAGAGTCATTTCAAGTGTTCAGTGCTCTAAGCAAAGGATGCTGAGTGTTTCAAATATCAATGTGGAATGTTCTAGACTCTTCTATGCACTATGTTTGGATTTCATTTTCTGGCTTGTGATTAGGTTGTTGTTTAAAAATAAATATCCCAGCCCAGCCAATAGAGCAGGAGTTAGGACTCATACCCATGCTATTATTGCCTTACTGAATGGGATGAAATGGTAGGTGAGGTGCTGGGACAAACAGCAGTTACTTCATGCCTGAAAAACCACTTTAGATTCTGTTTTTGCTGTCTGTATGCCTAAATAAATGTTGCTAATACTACTGAAGTTGTAAGTTACGAATGGAAAGACTGCTAATATTATGTTGGTTTGAACTTGTGCATTTATATATGCTCATGCATGCTCATGTCTCCTGTTGATATTGAGTTTTTAGTGTGCATTTAAAAATGTAAAATCTGGATGTTGGTTCTGTTGTTTGCTGAGCTTTTATATTCCTACATTTGTGTCCTGTAGTATTTTGATTTTGTTTTAAGCAGCAGCATCACCCCCCATTTTTGGGGGGGGGATTACATGCAAGTCCAACAAACATTTTTTTTTTTTTTTTTACTGGCCTTGGGTTAGAGTTAGGCAGGCTGCCAAAAGAAATGCTGAAATTGTCACTTGACTTTGCTAAGTAGAAACTGTTACCTATTTGGGTATTTTAAAAAATACACTTGGTCAAGTTTTGTATAGGCTGGATGGCTGGTAGCAGTCAAAATGGACTGCTATCCCATCTAATTTTGTAATCCTGGGGAAAAAATTGGAACAAGGGCTTGTTTCAGATTTCTGGAATGCTGAAACGTGCTTTGAGTTTTATTCCATTGGAACACGGAACCCTTGAGCCATTTTAGTTTTGTTCTATCAGAACACTTCCAACTTAAACAACAGAACATTTTGTGTAAAAGTGTTTCATTCCAAGTTCAAAACAAAGCATGTTTTTTGTTCTGTGAACACCTTTGCTTTGATGAAATAAAGGGAAAAAAATGGATAAATCATTTCTTTTTGAACTCACCAAATTTAGTGTGAGTCAGGGAAATGAACCAGTTGATCATGTCCTTGCCCAGATCAAAATTCCTCTAAATTTATAGAAAATTAATAGTAAATTGGCCCAGACTTAATAACTGAAAATTGCTTTGTCAAACTTCTAAAACAATGAGATTAGAATTAATTTCACACTGCATATGATGAGAATGCTTTCTTTATAAATCCATGTGTATAAGAGTCAAGTTATAGGTGGCAGGGTCTCTTAGGCTGCAATCATACACATGTTTACTTGAGAATAAATTCCATCAAAGTTGTTGGATCAAATTCTAATATCTTGTCTTTATAACTGCTTCCAAGTTATCTTTGAATGATCTCTTTTAATCCAACCCACCTCACAGGGTTATTCTTGTGGGGAAACAGGAGGCAGGAGTATTAGGTATGTTTGCTGCCTTGAGTTGAATATATATATACAGTGGGGCAAAAAAGTATTTAGTCAGCCACCAATTGTGTAAGTTCTCCCCTTAAAAAGATGAGAGAGGCCTGTAA